TCAAACTTTTAGCTATTAAGCCCAAAACAATATTTTCTCTCACAAAAACCCTTACTTAAATGCTAAAATAGCACAAAATTTTGGGGTATTACATCAAAAGTGAATGGTTTCATGTAGTATTGAGTAGAAAGTGAAAAAGCAAAGTGCATGGAATGAATGAACGTCATGGATGTCATCATACTTGACACGGTTGATTGAATGAATCCATACAAGTGCAAAAAACAAGGTAAGATGTAAAATGCCCCTTGTGTACCTAGACATGGTGGGAATCCTAACCTCACTAGTGGCTTTCTAGGCTAACAATTCCTATGGATGGCTTCTCTTTAAGTTGACTGCATGGTTTCCTAAAGGGCATTAGGCCTTCTCAACCATTTAACTCTTCAGAATCAATGGGAGATATTTCCAAATGCTAATACACAAGAAGATATTACATCATCAGGTGTTGTATTAATAAATAAAACAACCTAAAGGGAATTGACCTTACTCCTTAAGGTGGGAAGAATTGCTCTACTAAGCCAGATTTGTAAGGATTCTAGACTTAGATGTTGGGTTCACCTTATACACAAATCTAATGCATGATGCAAGTGAGTGCGTGCAAAGGGCATGCCACTTTAATAATCTACGCAAGACAAGCTAAACTAGCAACAATATCCCATAGCAACAAGATAAAACATAAAAGCAAATCAAGCATGTAAATCACCCAACAAGTATAGTATCCATAAAGAAACCTACTTACACAACAAGCAGGAACTCACCTAGTACTCCAATTCCAAATGCAAAAGGTAAGCACACCCACAAGCAAGTAGATGAGCAAATAAGCATGATGCATGATGCATGTATAAAAATGATGTATGAACATACAAGATGATATGATGAATAAACATGTGAACAAAGTATGATGCATGTCTTAATATGGCTGAATTAGAGCATTTAAAGGAGAAAGGTAAAAGCACCAAGCAAGGAAACAAATAAACAAGAAGTAAGCAAGACTCAAACAAAATGACTCAAACAATATGACTCAACAATTAGACAAATGACTTAACCATCAAAGAAAACTAAAAATTGAAAAGCCCTAAAGTTAAAGTATTAGCTTGACCCTTGTGAACCAAAAATATGGATAACTGAAGATTTTGGGTTCGATCCCCAATGAAGTTGCCAATCTGTTAATGACCACCCAAAATTTTGTCTTCAAAAATTTTTATATTATATATATTGAAAAATTAGGTGTAAAAAAAGAAAAAAAGAAAGAAGTCGCCACTCATCCAAATTATAAGATGGGACAAGTCACCTAAACATAGTTTGCACAAAGATCGAGGTCTGGGGGTATGGTCAAGAGTGAGAAAAGGCATATGCACACCTTACAATCCTCCATGTAAAACACGAGTGCATACTTTAACATTTGGGATTTATTCAACTTTGATTGTTTTTGGTTTTGATTAAGTCAACTAATAAAAGTAAATGGATGAAATTGTGAAGGTTGAAAATACTTGGATTGAATTGAACTAAATCAAGAACATGCATGCACAATTGAAACAAAATTAAAAATGGAGGAATTGATTTGATTAAACTTGAAACATGGAGGACTAATTTGAAAAGATTTAAAATTGGTGAGACAAATTGCTTAATCTTAAAAGCTTTGTGGGAAATTGAAATTTAATAAAAGATAATTTTGACCTTTTTTTTTTTTTGGACCTGATTAAGCTCCTAATAGCGAAAAGAAATTAAATGCAAATTTCAAGCAAATTTCATAAGTAGCAAACAAACAACCAATAATGAAAAAAGCAACTTCAATATTATTAAATTAAGATCATCATTTACAAGAAATGCAGTTAGGGATGTCAACGGGGCCCATGGGGATGAGAAGGGTCACGGGGATTTTTGACCAAGGGTAGATTTTGCCCCCCATCCCCATTCCCCGCCAATTAATATCTAAATATATATTGTTTACATCAAACATAAATAAGGATTAATTTAACATAAATAATTAAATCAATAAATTTGTTCCAAACATAAATAAAAATTAATGGCTTAATTTAATTTTTAATCTATTAACTATCATTTTGATTTCATTTTAGTCTAGAAACTATATTTTATTTCTAAGTGGTCTATTAACTTTCAGATTTATTTAAATTTTGTCTGCTTGGTTAAAGTTAACAGAAAACTTCCTATCTTGTCAAAGAACAGTTAGTCCTCTGATTATATTTGTTTTGATTTTTTAGTCCTTAAATTTATATTTGTTATAAAAATAGTTTTTTTACTTAAAATTATTATTTATAAGCTTTGATACCAAAATTTTATACGAGTTTTCCCTTTTTTTTTTTTAATTTGATATCAGAGCCTAAAAGTTAATAGACCACTTAGAAATAATAATTTTAAGTATAAAAATCTGGTATCATAACCTAAAAATAATAATTTAAAGTATAAGCTATTTTTAAAATAAATATAAATTTGCGGACTAAAAGATAAAAAAATATAGTTAGAGGACTAACTGTTCTCTACAGAATAGGAAGTTTTCCGTTATCTTTGACCAAGTAAATGAAATTGAAATGAATCTGAAAGTTAATAGGCCACTTAAAAATAAACATAATTTCTAGACTAAAATGAAATCAAGGTGATAGTTAATAGACTAAAAATTGAATTAAGCCAAAAATTAATTGTCACGCCCCAGAACCCAAATCCGGGGGCGTGGCAGACGCCGTGCACTCGTGAGAAGGTCCCACAAATGCACAAGGCTCGAAACTTATTGAGTTCATACTTAGCAATTCAGGTAATTCAGATCTAAGCCTTTTTAATTACCAAATATTTACCAGTCAGATGTACAAGATTTATCATTTCATATATACAGTCATGACTAGC